ACAGATAGATGGAATTTTTCTGAACCTAACAAATTTTGTTTCACTATTTTTGGACATCTATAAGATTTACTACAATTTATCAAAATTCAGCTCAAAACAAAATTGAATAAGGCTTTACTAATTCACTGGAAAATGAAAAATCGATTTCCATCGCGTGGCCCAACGCGAGCGGCCTGGCCTAGTTCGGCGCAACGCCCACGCGCGCGCGACGCTTGGCGTGGCCCACACAGGGGCGTGGCCTAGCCGGGCGATGACGGCCCGTGACGAGGAGGTCCGCGCGAGCTAGTCATCTTACAAAAACACCCTCGACCTTTCTGGTAATAACGCGAGTACTAAGAACACTATTCCACCAGTCTATGATTACGCAAAACAGTCCCTGGAATAACCTATCTTCGCAACGGCGATACCCCCGGGCACCCGTGCGCGAACCGGCGCTGGCACCGAGCGGTTACGCCGGCCACACCAGCCCTTCCCCACCCTAACTACGGAGCCGATACCTACCTATGAGTGAACGCGAAACACTTGGCGAAGGAAGTGCAAGCTGGGACGCCGCAGCAAGGCCGGACCACGGTGGCGGAGATCCTACAACCACGGCGGTGGTGTTCCGGTGAGTTACAACAATGTCGGAGAAATTAGGGTAGCTAGTGAGCTCAAAGAACTCACCACGGAACCAATTGAGGCAGTGGTTCGACCGGAGATGGCCTGAGTCGAGCTGGCCGTGTGCGCACAGACGGTACGGTGGCGCACGGCGGTCGCAAGGCTGCATCAGGGGAGGCTAGGTGGCGGTAGCGATTCGACAAAGGTGCGTAGGGTGATTAGCAGTTGGAGGCAAAGCTAGCAATGCAAGGAATTGACACGAGCTGCACTGGATAGGGAGCTTGCCTTCGACATAGACTAACACGGTCTTATTGACCCGAGGGAACGACAGCTCCAAATTGGAGCACGGCATGGCGAGGCTCACTGCAAGGTGGGGTCGGGTGGCTGGTTGGCTACTCAGCGGAGCCGAGGACGGGTTAATTGGATTGAGGTGGCTCCACCAGGCCGAATTGAGAGGTGTGGGACAGGCAACCAAGGTGGCAGAGGAATATGGGACGACCGGCATGGCTTGGCGTGGCGTTGCCGTGGCGGGACGCGGCTGTCAATCGGTGCACAAACATGTACGGCTATAGGGCAATGGGGAAATGGCCAATGTGCACAGGACGGTGGGCCGCACGGCCATAAACCGCAAGCCGACAATAGCGGCTCGGCCCTGCGCCGCAGTGGCATGGCGCCGGTTAGGGCAGCGTCGCATCGAGCATGATGTGATGGTAAGGGCAGGCGGCAAGCCCACACGCGGCAAGGTGACGTGTGGGCAAAGCCAAGCATGGCCACGAGCGCACGGTACTGCTAGGCGAGCGCGAGGCGGCAGCGTGGCTAGGCGGACGCGATGGCGGTGGCAGAGCGCACGTAGGTGACCTCGCACAAGCGGCCATGGCCAACAGCAGCGGGGTGGACACATGGAGTCAGCGACACGGCGAAGCGGCGGCAGTGGGCTAGCCAGGGTAGCGGGCCCGCGGTGACTACAGTGGTGGCCGAGTGGCTAGGTCGCCGGGAGCGGCATGCGCGTGCATGTGCGTGCGTGCGTGGCAACGGCGGTGCGGGTGTGCGCGAGCGCGTGGATGAGCATGGCAGTGGGGTGCGAAGCCCGCGTGGCAGCGCGCGTGGGCACGCCAGGGGCAGACCAGTGCCATGAGCCAAGCCGAACCGAAGCCAGTGACCGCATCCAGACGCTGACACCGGTCGAAACGTGCCATGCACAATTTTTAAAGCTGCTCAAAAAATCCAACTCGGTGATCCAATCGCTAAACCATCTATTTAATGCTCGAGCTGGTATATTAGGCTACTAAAACAAACCCTAAGACCATGCCACTACTTAACTTGATTCTCCTATAAAAATTGTCGAACTTAACCTCGTCGACCCATTTTCAGACTTAAGAAAATTGACTAAGTTTCGATCGGTTTTGCGTCAACTTCGATTTCCATGTTACCAACCATGCTAGCTAGTGACTCTCGTTCTCGACCGCAAGTATTTCACCGTTACCTACGAAGTTTGTACTATAAACTTTATTAAAGTGCTGGGTATGCGTTCTGTAGCATTATCGTTTAATAAAAATTCATTTAGAACCCTAAGTGATATAACGCGACATGAAACATAACATTCGTTTCGCATTTTTTATGAACGTTTCGAGCCACATAAATTGATTTACACTCTATAATTAATACACTATCATATAAACATGATGCACATGCAATGTTTTAGCAAAAATTGTACAGTGTAACACTGAGGGTGTTACAGAGGGAAAGCCACCACTGCCTAGATCCGCGACATGGAGGACCCACGCCGCCATTGGGAGGCCAGATCCGGCCTCCACGCCACCGGATCCGACCTCCACACCGCCCCTGGAGTTGGAGGGGGAGGGAAAGCTGCCACCGCCTAGATCTGCGACATGGAGGACCTGCGCCACCGTTGGGAGGCCGGATCCGGCCTCCACGCCACCGGATCCTACCTCCACGCCGCCGTCGGAGTTGAAGGGGGAGGGGACGCCGCCACCGCCTAGAACCACGACTTGGAGGACCCGCGCCACCGTGGGGAGGTAGGATCTGGCCTCCACGCCCCAGATTGAGGGAGAAGAGAGGAGGCGTCGTGCTGGGAGAGTGATGGCTAGATCCGGGAGGCCTCGCCGCCACGAGCCCTCGTCGGAGGGGATGGGAGGGTGCGTAGCCGGCCATGCTCGGCTAACGCCGTGCCGCTGGGAGAGGAGGGGAGGACCGTCAAGGGAAGGAGAGAGAGAGATTGGAGGGAGGGAGGGAGTGTGAGAGAGTGGAGGGATGGAGAGGGAGAGGGAGCGGCGTCAGGGGCACTGCTATCGGAGGCGTGAGGGAGAGGGAGGCGTTGGGGGCGACTGAGGGAGAGGAAGTTAGGGTTTTGTGCTCGCGGTATATATATTATGAACATGTTATCGGGCCTAGATGGACTGTTCGGGCCTTATATTTACCAAGGCGGGCCTTATAATGTGACCGCCTTGGTTAATGTATTAACCAAGGCGGTTATGTTAGTGCAACCGTCTCGGCTAATCGATATTAACCAAGGCGGTTTCGTTACAGTGCTCGCCTCGGTTAAGTATTAACCGAGGCGGTTGCTGGCCTGGCTGCCCTACCTCGAATAACCGAGGCGGGCAACCAGACTGACCGCCTCCGAGGGCAATTGGGAAACGCTGCGCAAAAGAATTTGTGTAGTAGTGATTTGAAAAAACATTCAGTGATGGTCTACTGCCGTCACATAAAAACTCCATATATCGTCATAAATTCACTACCGCTAGTTGACTACCTGAGAATTACATTTTATGACCATCCTTGGTACCTTTATGTGACAAAAGGAAAAGAATCATCATATATAGTTCTGACGGTCCTGATTTTATGACGCTACAGACCTTTGCATTATATTATGATATATTATATGATAATAATTTGTCCCGTCACGAGGATTATTGTCATAGAAGGAAGGTTTTCTTGCACTTAGAGCCTAGATGCACTTTTAGTCTCTAATTAAAAGTGTATCATTTTTGTGAGGTGGTCCGTTAAGACGATTGCGTTTGATATTGGGTTTACAGAGGTTGTTGCTTAAGTTGACATATAAAATTAGATCTACAGAGGCCACGGTTTAAAATAACCATCTCTGAAAATATTTTTTTCTTATATGCTTTAGAAAATAGGAGTGTAGAGGAATTCATCATAAGCAATCGTCTTTAAATTTTATTTTAAGGCAGAAGCTTAACATACAAGAACACCTGAAGAAATGACCCTATTTTAAAAAAACCATGACGGTTCTAATATGGTTTGTTTTTAAAAATCTACTTAGAGCCGGTCACTAGCAGTGGGTGCCACTACCATGCACTCCTACTGCACGACCGGTCACTCTTACGGCCTGTCCTGTAAAAAAGGTCGTCTAGTGTTTGCTTCAGCAATCTCGATCAGACATTTAACTGTGCGTTTACAAACGTTTTTTTGTGACATAAAATATCCTGTACGATAAAAGACTTCCACGGTTGTCCATGACGTGCGCGACTGAAGGCACACCACAGAAAGCGTTCGTTATTATTGACTGGGACGCTCCAGGACTTTATTAGTCCTTTCATATCATTGGGCCCACTACTGTATGAATCATCTTAGATGTCCATATTAATGACCCGTTTGACTCTCGCTAGATTCTAAAAATCTCATAATGCCATCCAAACAGGCTAGAGATTTTTTTTAGCATTTTAACTCACAGATTCTTAACATCTCATAAATCTCAAGAAACCTAGATAGCAGGGAATGTAGAATTTGGGATTCTAGTATCGCATTTAGGGCGTGTTTAGATCCAATTTTTTTTGGGTTTTGGTTACTGTAGCACTTTCGTTTGTATTTGGCAATTAGTGTCTAATTATGGACAAATTAGGCTCGAAAGTTTCGTCTCGCAATTTCTCACCCAACTGTGCAATTAGTTTTTTTTCGTCTACATTTAGTACTCCATGCATATGCCGCAAGATTCGATGTGACGGGTACTGCGCAAAAAATTTTGGAATCTAAACGGGGCCTTAAACGGTACCTATATGTGACGCTGGGCGATCCCCTATCCTGCACGGCATTATTTTAACTGTGCCTGTTTTCACACTAAACGGCAGGAAGGAGAAGACTAGCCCAGCAGTCTCCCTGGAAAAGTATGCAGGGAAGAGTGGAAGACTTGGGGTTGGGGTAGTGAAGTCAAGTCGTTGCAGGCCCCACGCATTCCGAGCTCCCAACTTGGCTTCCTCACCACCACGAACTGCTGAAGTCCACAACCTTTATTTTTCCCAGCAGCTTCGTTCTTAGCAGGTTTAGCTGAGGTGCACTGCTGCTGCACTCTCTCCTCCTCGCTCATCATCAGTTGCGGTCGGCCACGCTCGCCAACAGTCCACTGGAAACAAACGGCAAGCGCGGCCATGCTGTTGGCTAGCTACGCCTACGCGGTTGCTGGCCTGCTGATCGCCCTCACGCTAGCGCTCGCGTCTGGTATGCCATGGCCAGCCTGCTCCACCAGCACCGGCAACTACACCGCTAACAGCACCTTTGAAGGCAACCTCCTCCTGGTGGCCGCGGCCCTACCAGGCAACGTCTCCATGTCGCCTACCCTCTTCGCCAACGCCACAACCGGGACAGCGCCCTACACAGTTTACGCCATCGGGCAATGCATCGGCTACCAGCGCCCCACTGCCTGCAGCGAGTGCATCGCGGCCAGCTTTGAGCAGGCACAGAAGTTGTGCCCATACAACAAGCGTGTAGCCATCTTCTACGACACGTGCCTCCTTGGCTTCTCCGACCAAGATTTTCTCGTCTCCCGCACCAACTTGCAGGACCAGGAGGTGGAGCTCTACAACGGTCAGAACATCACCTCCAAAGACGTCGACCAGTTCAGCGCATCCGCCTTCAAGCTCCTCAATGCCATGGCCGATCACGTTGCCACCGCAAACTTACAGGACAAGTTCGTGTATGGGTCCATTGGCTTCGACGCGGCCTACCCCTTCATCTACGGAATGGTGTCCTGCACTCCCGACCTTGAGCCTTGGGAGTGCCGTGGGTGCCTTTCTTCGGCTATTGCCGAGATGCCACACGACTTCATCCTTAACACGAAGGGCGCCAGGATCGCAGGGCTGCGGTGCACCGTGCGGTATGAGGTGTACCGTTTCTACAACAGTTCCACCGTGTTTCAGCTGCCACCGTCACCAACGGCACCGCCACTGCCATCACCGCCACCAGCAGTCATCCAGGATGGTCGGTTTCTTGGCATCTATGCTTTTGAGCTGAGAAACTCCATTTTAAATCTTATTAACACCCATCACTTTCTCCATTATCTGCCTTTTTTTAATTAATGTTAGTTTACTGTCACCATGAAACTTTTTAGTACAATACTCACCATCTATTTTTTAAGACAAATTAAAAAGTCACATATTTCTGATTATTAGATAATATCCATTTATATCCTACGTTAGTAGGAGCGAAACTCCCATAGAGTGATTACTGAAAACAAATTGCTAGCCCCACATATATATAATTGCTAGCCCATAGAGTGATTGTTGAAAACAAATTGCTAGCCCACACTAGCACGCCCATCAGCAGCCATGCTCCAGCACGGCATAGAAACTTATCTTACATAAGAAATAAATGTTTGTTGATAAATTCGTTAATCACAACTAGTCAAATATTACTCCCTCCGTCCCTTATTATTTGTCGCTATGGAAAACATGTACGTCAAACTTTTTCTTAATTTTGACCAGGTTTATAGAAAATATTAGCACATTTATATCTCCAAATAAATTTATTATGAAAATAAATTAAACGATCTATCTAATGATACTAATTATGTACTATAAATATTAATATGTTTTGTATATATTTGGTCAAAGTTGAGTAAGTTTGACTTCTCGGGAAGTGATAACAACAGATAAAAAGAGACGGAGGGAGTATATGTTTCTTGCATTACATTCTTCTTGGGTGATAAATCTCTCAAATCCCTTGACCTCTGTTAGTATTTAGATTAGTTTTATTTCCAAAGAGTGTTAGCTGATATAGCATCATTACTCCACTAATAAAATAGTCGCTTTTGAAGAATCTAGTTTTAAAATAATAAGGAATAATTAATATTGTCACTATTACGTGATTCAAAATGCATAAAGCAATTACTGAACATGTACGAGTCACTGACCCACAGATATATAGTTCATGTCGCTATATCTCTCCTTTCACAGTTGCGAAAATAGATGACAGTCTTTTCGCGCTCCTCATATTTGTATTTATTGAGAAATATGTAAGATCCACGAACAATTATTAAGGTGTACATACTTAATGTTACAAATAGTCGTGAATGTAGAAGTTCCATTAGCTATGAAGATGTTGATTTAAATATTTGTTTCTGTCAACGAATTCCATATAAGTTGCAATACTAAATTAGGCCAACACTAGCAAAACAGTAATTAGTGCCGGCAAATCCCTGCTGCGAATGCGTAAGAAAAATCAGAGATTGTAAGCCATCCAAGTGTTATCTGGTAGAATAGATACACCAAGGACTATCTATATGGCTGTTGTTACCGTTGTCATTATCTGTGGTGAATTGTATTGCAATCCAAGACCAATTTCCCACCATTGTAATTTAAATATCAGTTTGTATTAAAAATAATTGATTACTTCTTCGAAGAGAGTCATATGGAGACAAACATTATACAAAATTCATAGGCCTGAAGAGATCTCACAACATTGTATTTGAATATTTTTCCTAAATTGGAAGTTATATGAAAAAAGGTTTTATGGGACATGGCATAAAAGGAGTAAAAATATGTATTGCTCTCCACATTGTAAGTAAAAGTGAGATCCAAAGGAGGATTCCCACAATTTGGAAGGTTGAGGGTTTGAAGCATGGACACCTCGCTTGCATGTTGTCTAATAATAAACATATAGAGCAAACCTTTTATTTAATAAGAATTTTCTATCCTTTTTTTCATAAATTGTCTGTCTTGTTTGATGGCAGGGGGCAGGAGCAAAGTTTTTGTCATAGCCTTGGTTGCGCCACTACTTGGATCCATTTTTGGTTTGACCCTATGCTTCATATTCATCAGACTAAACAGAAAAGGTAAGTTATCTACATGTGAATGAAACTCTACTAGTTTCGTACACAAAATATTAAATCAAGATCCGGATTCAGTTCCACATGGCAAGGCTAAAATGAATCTGGCGGATGATGAAGCCCTGGTTTGGGGAATGGAAGGAAAGAGTTCAGAATTGATGGTTTATGAGTTCACCCAAGTACTACAGGCTACAGGTGACTTCTCGGAAGAAAATAAACTTGGGCAGGGTGGCTTTGGTCCTGTGTACAAGGTAAGAGAAAAAAAGACATTCTTGGACGGGTGGGTACACAGATAAATATTAAACATGTTGAGAAATAGTCATACTCGCTGTTTGAAACTTTGGAACTTTTGCATATTCTTCTTAAGATTGAAGTGTTCCTTACATAATAAATCTTGTGAAATTCGAGTTCCTAACATACTTCAAGACATCAAGACAGTGGTTGTGTTTTCTCTGTGATGGTCCAAACAATAATTGGTGAAGTGTCCAGGTAACAATTGAATTATAAAATTATTGATTTTTTTTACCATGTCTATATATAGGGCCGATTTCAAGATGGGATGGAGATAGCAGTTAAGAGACTTTCTTCACATTCAGGGCAAGGTTTCATGGAGTTTAAAAATGAAATCCAGCTCATAGCCAAGCTCCAGCACACAAACCTGGTTAGGCTCTTGGGATGCTGCTCCCAGGGAGAGGAAAAAATACTAGTATATGAATATTTGCCAAATAAAAGCTTGGACTTCTTCATTTTCGGTATTCATTTCTTACATCTGACATCCACAGGTTCTGGGTTCTGATGGTGTCTATTATAATAAATATATTGTTAATTGGTATGCAGATCAAACAAGGAGGGCTTTGCTTGATTGGACTAGACGCCGAGCAATAATAGAAGGGATAGCGCAAGGACTAGTTTATTTGCATAAGCACTCTCGGTTACGAGTTATTCATAGAGATCTTAAAGCAAGCAATGTTCTCTTGGACTCTGAAATGAACCCTAAAATTTCAGATTTTGGGCTCGCTAAGATATTTAGCACAAAAGATACTGAAGGAAACACAAGAAGAATCGTTGGGACATAGTACGGTTTTCCTACAGAGTAGTATCCAAGCTATAGTATACATTTACCTGCCAAATACAGTTACTTGAACTGAAATTTGTTACATGCATGTTTTCAGTGGTTATATGGCTCCTGAGTACGCATCAGAGGGCCTCTTCTCAGTGAAATCTGATGTATTCAGCTTTGGTGTGCTAATTCTTGAGATCATCAGTGGGAAAAGAGCATCGAGTTTCCTTGGGTACGGGGACTTCATCAACATTCTAGGACATGTGAGTCTTTCAATTTTCAAATGCACATGTAAATGTTTGTGCCTCTAATAAGCTCCCCACGAAGACAAGAAAGAACAAAGTTTAAGGCAAATCCATGGGCGAAGCTATGCTGTGGTTAGGGGGTGGTAATGCACCCCCTAAAAATTACAAAAATAGTAGGGGGCCTATCTGGATTACAGTTGGATTATTATAATCTATATTATGCATAGAATTATTATCATTAGGATTGTTGAGTATAATAATCAGTGTGTTTGAATCAGTTGATTATGGTGATTGATTATGGTTGGTTGGCTCCTTTATAGTTTGGCAAGTTGGACAATCGGGTGGGAGGTAGGTTGGACTTTCAACACCCATAATCCCCCGTAACCTAGTCTCACCTGGATTATAGGGTTATGGTAATCAAGAGATCTGATTATAATAATCTTTTATGTAATCAATCCTGTTTGGATCAATATTTGATTATATAACCTGATTATTATAATTAGAGGAGTATCCAAACAGGGCCTAGAGTTGATCAAACTTTCGCCATATATGCACACTCTATAATACATGTCTATGCGCCCATAAGGCAAGTGCACCTCCCTCTAACTTGTCTAGCTTGGGCACTTGGTAAATCAATGGGTTGATTTTAAATGGAGTACTCAGTGCCATCAATATTCAATTAGGGCTCGTTACATTTAAATTCTTTTTACCAATGCATAGGCGGAGCACCAGCCAAAAACTAACTCACAATATAACTCTGTACTGCTTGATAAATCTTTGCAGGCATGGCAGCTGTGGAAAGAGGGATTATGGCTTCAACTCGTGGACACATCACTAGTTAGTGATGTTCATGCACTAGAAATTGTTAGATGCATTAATATTGCCTTGTTATGTGTGCAAGAGCATGCGGCTGATCGACCGACCATGTCACACGTGGTTTCCATGCTAAGCAGTGAGAGTATGACACTACCTGAGCCAAAGCACCCTGCATATTTCCACATAAGGGTGACCACCGAAGAAGTGTCCACAGTTTTTGATCCGCCTAGTCTTAATGGTGTGACAATATCTGCCCAAGATGGTAGATAGTTTCCTTTCAGGATTGCAGGTTATATGAAATATTTATATTGTTGTGGATTGGAGTCATTTTCTAGTTTTAACTCAACTGTTTGTTTAAAGGCATACATTTGTAGACTACTCTGTATTTCTTTTTGAACAACTAGCCAGTCAACCCCCTCCTACAAGGGCTATCACTTTATAAAAATTTTAGTCCATCTACACATTTCTTTTCTTGTTCTTCTTCTTCTTTTTCTTCTTCTTTACTATTATTATTACTATTATTATTATTAGTATTACTATTACTATTACTACTACTACTGCTGCTGCTGCTGCTGCTGCTGCTGCTGTACTACTACTACTACTACTGCGGCTTCTCCTACTGCTATTTATTATTGCTATTGTTATTGTTATTATTATTATTATTACTATTACTAATTTTACTATTATTATTATTATTATTATTATTATTATTATTATTATTATTATTATTATTGTATACCAATTTTGTAAAAATTATTGATGTCCAATGTTCCTAAACTAATAATGTTATACCAAAAAAAAAATGATAGCAAAATGTTGTACATATGTCATTAAATAATTGAAGACATGTATTGTTTTTGACATTTTTGCTTTCTTGTTGTAATATATTGAAAAATGTATGTTTGAAGGTATATAAACGCTAGACTAGATGGCAAAGGGAATAATATATGGATGTGTATGTTGCGATTACGTGTGCATGATTCTTTGCTCTTCATGAAAGCTTCCACTCACGTCTAATTTCCAATTAATGATGAGGCCCGATTAATATATCCATTATCTAAAAAAATTCCAATTAATGATGACATTTATAGTTTAGCTGACAACACGGTTCCTCTAAGTATTATCAGTAGGGTGTCAACATGAATTTATCAGCTTCAGCACTAGTGTGTCGCCATATGTGCTCTTAATATTATCAGTTGAGTGAGCCGTCCCTACAAATCAACCTATTTGTAGGAGCCGCTCCTACTGTTTGATTTATAGGGGCGGCTAATCCGTGAGACCCAAGCACATGTAGGGGCGGCTGAAAAAAGGTGCTGTTGCTACAAATCATTTTTGTAGCAGCATGGACACTCGTTGGCATGAATCTAGCAGCTTCAACAGCAGTATAAGTATACCTGAGCAGTTTGTTCACCGGCCCACTTGCGCCGGTGTCGTCATACCATTGTTCGTGTTGGCGTAGAAGTAGCAGACAAGAGCCGACGGCCGTGAGATATGGTTGGCGTAGGCGTTGGCGGGCTGGGCATTCCATCGAGCAGTTCGCGGACACGCGTCGCAGTGCCCCTCGCGTCAGACCGACTCCCTGGCTCCCAGCAGGAATGAAGAGCTTTTTGCAGCAAGGTAGACGCGCAGAGGCTACGCCGCCCTTGGGCGGTGATGGAAACGCGGAGGGCGCCGTGATGAAGGAGAGGAGACGGCGGGAGGCGACCACAAGGAAGCTGCGGTGGTATGGCAATGGAGAGGGCCGCCGGGCCGGTGGCGCCTGATGTGAGAATGTGGGATTGTGGGCTTAGGAAGCCAGGCCAAAATTTAGTCAGACCACAGTTTGCTTCAATGCCATAGTTTGTGTGGCCCATGAAGATTTTTTCATGACCCTGCGGCCCTAGTTTGTCATGGCAAAATCTTGGGCGAACGAGGGCCCAGCATTGAAGCAAACTATGGCCCATTGAAGATTTTGCCACGAAACTAAACAATCCTGGCCTGGACGTGGGCGAGCAAAACGCTGGACCTGACTTGGCTTGGCGGCGTATGGGTAGAGGAGAGCTGACGAGTCAGTTATTCTGTGGGGGAAATATCTAGAGAAAATTAGTTCCTTTGCCCTAAAAAAAACTTGTGCTTAGTTTCTTGACCCTTTTTCGATTGAACTTACTTATTTAGTCCTAAAACGAATTTCGTTTAGGTTCTTGGCCCTTTAGTTTGACGAGGTAACGATGTTAAAAGCAACGTTAAATGACTCTTTTACTCCTGGTGCTGAACGCAATACTACAGCAGCCTATAGTAGCATCATACGGGTCTTTCGGACTGATTGCTATCAATAATTTTTCAAAATAAGATACAATATTTTTTCAAGCATTAAATTATTATTTTTATATATTTTTTGAAGCATGAAATTATTATTTTTTATATATAATTTTGGGAAATTACTTTATAAAAAATATACATAAAATCATTTTTCATGCTTGAAAATATTGTATCTTATTTTTGGAGATTATTGATAGTAGGGAGCCTGAAAAGCATGTATGACTCTACTATGCTTTAGTGTTGCATTCAGCAACTCGAGTAAAACAGTCATTTCGCGTTGATTTGAACACCGTCATCTTGTCCAACTAACGGAAGGGCCAAGAACTAAAACGAAATTCGTTTTAGGGACAAATAAGCAAGTTCAAGTGAAAAAGGGCCAAGAAACTCGGCACGACTTTTTTAGGGCAAGGAACTAATTTTTTGAAATATCAACGCCTCCCCATTCCCTTCAAAACATAATTCGGTTGCTTTTTTTCAACCTCAATTTGTTTCTGTTTAATAAAGTTTTATAAAATGTTACATAAACACTTGCAAATTCAAATTAATGCAATATAGAAACATTTTTATGAAGAAAATCAAATAGAGATCTGATGATAGTACAAATCTCGACGCATTTTTCTATAATTTAGTCAAGACTAGATAAATTCGACTAGGAAAACTCAAAATAAAGTATAATTTAAAATCAAGGGAGCACTAAGACAGGCCTTTCCAGTGCTTCTCAACAAAAATACGTCCTCTTGCCCAAAATCGCCACTCATATGGACACCTGGCTTGGTTAGTTTCATATACTCCATCGGTTACAAACTATAAATCGTTTTAGTTTGTTCTAGTTCAACTTTTTTTAGCTTTGATCAAGTTTATAATTTTTTTTGCACAAACGGTATTTATCATATATCCATACTATGAAATATATTTTGATAGTATATTCTTTGATATAAACTTCATTAACATAGGAAAGTTTAACTTAGAATGGGGGAAGTATACGTTTTAGCTGTATCATTATCATCCTCTGTGCGTTTCTAACATAGGAACAAGGAAATGAAAAAAAAAACATAGGTCAATTTCCTATCTTGCGATTTTGTACCAAAACTTTGATCAGTGTATAAGGGGAACATTCATACTGACAAAAATATACATTATAAACTATCAAGGATATGTTTCATAGAGTTTCTTTGCAGACGACTTCAGGTAATAAGACAGAGAAGATGGAGACGATAAAAGTATATTCTCGCAGAGCTATTTCGTAAGTATTGGCAGGGCTTCATCCAAAAAGCCAGAGAAGACAAAGCTGAAGCACCTCGAGAAGCCTTGCCAATATATACACGTACCTAACAAGAGCAAAGATAACAACAAAATAGTGTTTGTTTTATGATACAAAAGGAAACTAAAAAGCTGAACAAAGAAATTTTGATATTATAGAGAAAAAGAGAATAACAAAAATAAAATGAGATTAGGGATATAGCAGGAACTAATCCTAAAGATATAAATTTTGTCAGAGATCAATATGGAGGGAAAGTAAATAAGCATAACACTGTAATTACATTCAGTAACTAGCAACTTACTAGTAGTATGCCCGTGCTAACGCTACGGTAAATAAGAAACAAAATAAAATTTGTAAAAATAAAAACAAATAATTACATTCATTAAAATTCACGTCTACAATTCTTGGCCGACGCAATCTGAACCTATTTGTGGTTTCACCTCTGCAATTCTCGGCCGACGCAATCTGAAGTCAGTGTTCCAGCAAGACAACATTTTTGTACAAGATGTACTGAAATTCTCTTCGCGTTGATGCATGGTACGAACAAGGCGTCCTGCATTTAATTTAACAGCTTCCGTCGATCTGCCCATGGGAGAGGAGCCACAGCCGCGGAGCTACAACGAGACCATACTGCATCCGCAGTGATCTCCTTCTTCCCCTCTCCTCCCGCCGCCGTCATGGCCATCGTCGCCTTCGCCCGACTTGGCCCGACCATCTCCTCCGCTGCTGTAACCCTAACGCCTCCCTCCCTCTCTGCCCCCACCATCCGGCCGACTTGCCTCCCCAAAGCCCCCACGGCCGCCTCCCGCATGGCCTCCTCCTTCCTCCCTCCTCCCGCCGCCACCTTGGCCATAGTCGCCCCTCGACACGACCTAGCCCGACCGCCTCGTCCGTCGCTAGAACCCTAACACCGTCCTCCCGCTGTCCCCGCTGCCTGGCCGGCCTGCCTACCCCGAGCCCCTTCTAACCCACCAGAGTTGGGAAGAAGAAGAGGTGGCGACATTGAAACCCTATCCGCCACAATCTTGCCGTCGGTGCGGCGTGGTTGGGCACGAACGAGTTGAGGCGTAGGGGCGGGAGCGTTATGGGGCACGGTGCGAGCATCGTGTGGGCATGGGTGAGGGCGTCGCGTGGTCGCGACGGAGCACGACCATCGTGTAGTAACTTTTATGTAATTCAAGTTTGCACATGAATCCCAAATGCTAAAAGTGTTAAAGTCTCGATGTGGACAAATTGCATCAAGCACATCAGTTGCAATGATCTACAGGGAAGGGTCTCATCTTTCTTCATGAGCTCCAACTCCATAGAGGAACCATTAGTTTCATGCAATCATCACTGGATTCAACAAGCAATAACCATTGAACTCATAATAGATCTCAACCAAAAAAATTGACCCACATTTACAAGTTTTTCTGCATATAGAGCCCAAGTCCAGTCTATCTCATTGCTGTCCATAGAGCGAAAACATGAGGACACCTGATATTTACATTGAATGGAGACAATCTTTTCTTTTTACAAGCCACATAATTCACAAGTACAATGCTGCTCGAGATGACGACGATAGCACTTGTTAGCTCTTGTCGACAAACAATTATTTATAACTATGCTTCCTGATCATGCATAGATGGCATGTAAAAGAGCTTCTAGAAAAATTTTACCTATTTCAAGTGAGATAAATCTTAATGCCTCAAAGAAGGCCACAAAGAACAAT